AGAAAATTCCTTGAAACATCTGCTACCGTGGCAATTTCATTGTATGTTGATACCTTGTCGGACGATGTTTTTGGATGATTTTTTGGACGATTTTATTGTATGTTGATTTCTTAAGTTTCTTGATCAATTGACGATGTTTTAGATGATTTGCGTTCACATGGACCTTAGATGCATATTTATGAAAGGTTAGGAACCTCTATTAGTATAAAATGAAGGTTAGGGTAAAGTCGGCAAAAAATAAAAAGGTGAGGGATCGCTACTGTAATTTTTCCCATATTTATTCTCCTCACAATACTATCATTGAATGATATGCATGGCACCCCAAAAGTCACCAATTTTTTTTCTAACCTTTAATGTTTCAGTTTTCTAATACTTTAAATTTCATTAGAACTCTATTCCAATGAAATGGTGCCCATATTGAAAATAAATTACAACGGACGAATACTTTTATTGTAGTAGGGTAACATATCAAGACATAGTGACTCAGTCTTTAAAAGAGAGAGTGTTAGCCCTAAAATATGGTGATAATGACTTGAAATGACGTTAACCCTCAAATAATTAGTGTTAGTGCCTCACAAATTTAGTGTAGCATCCTTTAGAAGAGTTTTATGCGATGGGTGATATTACTTTAAATACTATTAATAACACTTTGAAAAAAAATATATAAAATAGGGGACAACCCCAAAAATATATAAGAATTTTCGACGAAAACACCAATAACAATCCGTCATTAAATCTCGTAAAGCAAAATTCGTGATAAATTAAAAATTCTTAAAAATGAATATGTTATACCTATAAAATTAGTTCATATTGGGCTTTCCCATTGGGTTTGAAACTTGGTCTGTCCCATTAGTTCACGAGGCCTATTTTCATTTTTTATATGTATGTAAGTTTAATTTATTTCCAAAAGAGAGTCATCCACATGGGGACGTGGTCGAAATTCTGTTGTGCACCAAGTTAATGAAGAGGGAAGCCACCATGTTTGTGTTTCCGCACTCAAAATAGTAGATGGCATAAGTGATGAGCATGAAACAGCCATAGTGCAGGAACGTATTTCTTCATTCGAGAAATTTTGGAGAAGTAAAAGCAAAAATGCAGTTAGTTTCAAGAAAATTTTCATTCCACCTTATTCTATTTTTGACGGCCATATGATGTTTTCCACAAAAGATTGGAGCTCTACTGCAAAGCCTTGGTGTACAAGAGAAACAAATTGAATTTTTTGGCACCCACCCCACAACCTTCGATGACAACTCCACGCTTCATATCGGATTTCTTTGGTGGAATTTCAGGGATCGTTACAAGTCTTCAGAAACAATTTCAAACATGGATCTTTAAACAATTCATTTGATGAAATACGTAGCCCCGGCAAAGGCCATTTTCAGCCGGTTAAATTGCAGTTGAAGTTTTAGGCAAGTAAGTTCATTCGATTCTGCTACGCGTACACTTGTGTTGACATGGTGCATGACAGGGTGACGTGCCCGGTTCAAAAAGTTTGAAAAACGAAATGAAAAGTGGTGTGGTGAATGAAAAGAAAAGGAAAATTAGAAAAGAAAAGAAAAGAAATGGTGTCGGGTTATAAATTCAAAACTGGCCCATTCTTCATTAGAGAAACCTAAATGGTGCTTTCCCCAAATTCAACCACCGCTCATCGACACCTTGCTTAAGCAGCGCCTCCATTGCTGTTCGTCAACTAAGTGGTTGTTGACCTCCATCTTCGACAACTACTTGTTGGGCAGAATCTACAGCGAAACCGAAGCTGTTGCCCCCGAATTGAAACACCTCTACAGCAGAACCGAAGTTACTTCCCCCGAATTCAAACACCACTGACCGACGCTTTGCTCATGCGGTAATTCTGAGATGTCCACCTAGTGCAACTTTACCTCCATCTCCGACGACTTCTACTAGGGCAAAATCAATAGCAAAATTTGGGTAAGTTCTCTGTTTTGGTAAATTGGGTGTGTTAATGGGGTTTGGAGGGCTTGGAGCCTTTATTTCGAATAGCTTTCCCTCATTAGACTCCAGAGCTATTTGACAACTTCAATTTGAAGTTAACTCTCGTGTGTGTTCAAAGCAAACATCTTGAGAAATATTAGAGATCAATAGGTCTAAGAAGGTGTAAATTTTTTGAGACTTCTAACACGCTCATAATATGTAGTGAAAATCAACATTTGAAATGCTCATAATCTGTAGTGCAAATCAACAATCATTAAAGAATCTTCTGAGACTTCAAAAACACTCATAATCTGTCCATCAACAGGTTGAAATGCTCCGAAAAAATTTGTTGAATTTGTAGTGAAAATCCTAAAACATGTTAGACATTGCTGAGTATTTTCATTGTGAGACAATATGTAACATTTTACAATTTGATTGCTTGTACATTACCCCTTACCCAAACTAGTCGAGCTATTAGTTTGCAGAACTCGGTGCATTGTGTTGATTTATATTCATGTGGTTGGTTTACATTTCTGAATTGAAGAAAAAAATCACGAAGTGTGTCACAATTGCAAGTGTAAGGGCCACTTCTTTGCTGACTGCCCAAAGAAACGCCTATGCCCGTGGTGTAAGCGTGCGTTCTTCAAGTGTTTTGAGGTGGAAAGAGAGACTAAGAACAAAGGGAAGTTGTTCAATTGCTGCGGTGGCAAATGCGGATTTTGGGAATGGGCTGGAGAAGGTGAATCGAGTTGTCGGTCAAGTGTAGAAATTGAAACGTCAACTAATGTTGCAACGAACAAATCAGTTGTAGATGTCACTGGTATGTTCGAATCCAAACTTCGTTTAAGCAACGAACAAGAATTAAAATTTTCTGTGAACGTGACTATTCACAAAAACAAAGCAAGTGCGGAAGTCGATAACAAATGAAGCCCCAGGGTTGAGTATTCCGTGTTTGTGGTACTTGTTACATAACTTTTGAAGACATTGCACTTTTATAGTGCTACCTCTGTTGGAATGAAAAAACATTGTCGATGTCTTAATTCCGGTTTGTGTTAACTGTGAATGGATTTTAGATTTTTACGTTTTAGGTGGAAGTGTTATTATGTTCGTCAAATCTAGTGAAAATGGAACTTTTAGGAGAAAGGAAGCGTAGAAGTATGTAATGTATATTGATAAGTTATCAGAATAGTTTGTTATTCTCGCTTGGTGATTATTCTTCTTTCCATCAATTTTCTGTTTCTCAAGCTAATTAATGTTAGAGTTTGGCCACTTCTTTCCATCAATTTTTTGTTTCTTAAGCTAATTAATGTGTTGTGATCATGCTTCTTCAATTAAGAAGAAAATTAATTTGAGCACCAATTGAACCAAAAGCACCCTTTCTTTTGAAGAGTCATGATATAATTCTCAAGCATAACTATTACCGATTTATTGAATTTTTAGATATTTATGGGTTGTATTCTAAGATCGATTGTGTTGTAAAGAACAATTTTACAAATGAAAACATTAAAAATTCATTTATTAATCTTTAGTTCAGTTTATTATTACACGTCAAACATACCTTTAATTATTCTTAAAACCTTTTTCGTAATTTAGCATTTAAATTAAATCAATAAGTGCTGAATTTCACAGCTTATCCAATTGATCATTGCAGCTCACAATAATATGTTCCTCCATCATGAAAATTAAGACCGGGGAATAGGGTCATACGAATAGAAATTATAGAATATCAGTTGCTTAATTCAAATGTTGATTTTCACGACAGTTTTGCCAATGATGAACTAACATTAATACACAGTTGAAATGCAAGATTTGTTTGCTCAATAAACCTTTAAAGAGACATCATTACCAAAGATCTCAATAGCTAAAATATACACCATACTGTAACTAGTAAGGTAGACGACAAATGTCAATGTACAAGGCTTTACAAAATCAAATGTCAATGTACAAGGCTTTTACAAAATATTCCAAAAATTGTTTAGTATGGACTGCAAGAATTTGATTTGAACTCCAAAGCTAGTCTACAGTAGAAGAAACTTTGTCCCAGGTCATGTTCAACACTTGAGGTATTTTCCTGTCAACAAACATAATTACCATTACAGCAAAACTATAAAACAAAAAATTTTGTCAAACATTCGAGCTCTTTTTGTAAAGAACAAACATATACCTGATTCCAGTGACTCTTTTTGTCATCAACTACCCCATGTTTGTCCCATCTTGGTCTGGTAGAAGTTGATTGAAATTTTGCAACATATTTAACTCTGCCAAATATGAACATTACATATAAACATAATAATTTCTCAAATACGAAGTACATCGACTATATCATTACATTACCTTGAGAAGTGAATGTAACATTTGTTGGCGATGGTGGGATGAAGGCTGGATATTGCACCGGTTGTGCAAATGCATAACGTCCATCATGTACCTACAAGAATTAGATTCAATATGAGTGCTAAATTTGAGGATCTCTTTATATAAATCGTGCAAATGTATTGCACCAGTCAGTAAATTGCACCAGCCAATGGGAAATGTGAATATGGTAATGGTGGCGAAATGTGTTATTGTGGAAGCATAGGTCCCGGAACAACTGGTGCAGTAGCCCCCAGGTTACTTTGACGCGCTTGAAGTCTCTTTGCTTTAGCTAAGCTCGACTTTGCCTGCATGTTTTGCACACCTGAGATATCTATCTTAATATAAAGCAAACGCATAAAAATAATAAAAAAGAATAGCAACATACCTTCCCTTTCTTCGAACTCGATTCCAGTGGGCTCTTCTTTCATAGTTTCTTGCACCCTTCTTTGCTGTAATTTGAGGATCTCTTATGCTCCCGCTGCCAGTACTATGGGATGCTCTACGATCAGATCCCATCTGAAGCAAATGCTGGGACAAGACATTACTTCCACAACTTGACCTCAACGTCGTCATCGTTTGCTTTTTATCTTCAATCCACTCCATTAATGCCAGTGTCTACTCATCATCATCTGCCACCATGTCCGCAAGTGTACTAAAAGATTGACATACTTTATCGTAATTCAGTTGTATAGGGATGCTCGTCAACTAATCATAATTCACAGTGACCCTCGCGTGGGCTCTTCACACATCTCTTCTCCATCTCCGTAATATATATACTTGTCCGATAAATATGTGATGTCATTACGGATCATGACTGAAATAGCATGTCTGCAAACTATTCCACGAAATTCAAATAGATGGCAGCTACAAGTAATTTCACAGTTGTCTCTTTGATATGTGACGAAAAATGTTTTTTTCTTCCTTTGCTCATGACACATCACACCCTTCCATGACACATACAGAGTACCCAAACATCCCTCCGAGGTAAAAATCAGATTACAATACGCCTTCCCAATAAACTCTTGTTGCACTTCCCTGAATTTGGAGATTGTGTAAATGTCCTGAAACTGCTTCTCCATTACATAAGTTGTTGAGCATGGTAACATTTGGGAGAAAGATTTGACATCGGCCTGAAATTCGTTCTCAACTTTATCTCTCAATGCTCACTCGTATTGTTCAACAAATTGCTTAAGCGAGGTCTTCGAATGAACATAGCCATCAAAGAATGCATTCATGCTTTCACTGCGTTGGGTTGTTGACATTCCTTCCCAGAAAGTAGTTTTCAAATAGCACCAAACCCACCTACCTCTGTACCCATGCAGCCCACACACCATTCATTATCATGCAAATTACAGGTTTCTATCATCACTTTCCAACCTTCTTCAAAGTCCTCAACAGTTTGACAATCATAAACCAATGCATGGATGGCAGAAAATATAAAACCCTTATTCGCATGGTATCCAAACTTCTCAGGCAACTTCTTCATGATGTGCAACAAACACCACCGATGTTTTGTATTCGAAAACACAATCTCTGCATCGCCCTATCTTGGTCGGCAATTATTCCATGGGGTGCTTGACCATGCATACACTGTAGCCACGTTTGGAATAGCCATACAAGGTATCTGTATTTTCGTTTGATATCAAATCACAACCAAGCAAAGTTAACTGCCCATGATGATTCACTCTAATGAAATGGGCAAATGGCATGTCATACTTGTTAGTAAGGTAGGTCATATCGAATGTGACAACATCGCTAAACTCATTATATGCTTGCTTACACCTATTATCCGCCCAAAAAACATTCTTCGGTCGAGACTCTTCATCCAAATCCATACTAAAGTAAAACCTCGGACACTTAGCTTGCATATTTGAAAAGTAGGATTGGATTGCTGCAGCGTCTCCTTCACCAAGTCTTAAACGCCGCACTTGTTCAACATAATTCCTACAAACCTTTTCCAAGCAAGTCATGTTCTCATGCCCACCTGCTTCAATGACTGCAGAGTTGTAACTTTTGTGCAAAGGAGTGCCAGCCATATCATTCACTTCAAGTCATCGTTTCACATGTGCGCTCAGTTCTCGATTACATCTGTACAACCTAGATTTTGTAGGACTTGTTTTATGATTATGTTCAAGATAGACAGTGTTAATTCTCCAAATTCCACACATATCTGAAGATGCTGTCAGCCTAGCCTTACAACCTGTTTGGATGGTTGGTTGTAGCTTCAAGGAACAACTTGTATTGTTTGTTCTGTGACCTTCATGACTACATGTCAATGTAATATACCTCATAATCCCATCATCGTCCTTTTTTGAATTTCGAACTAGAACCGAAAAACCTATAGCGTAGGCATATCTTTTATAAAAATCGAACATCTCATTTTTATCCTTGAACTTCATCCCAACCTCAGGCACAATCGGTACATCTATCCCCACTATATCATCACCCAATATGTTCGAATTGTCCATCACGTTGTCATTATCGGATTCCAACAAAGTTCCATCACCAACATCGTTCACAATTTGTTTTTCTACAACAAGTTATAATTTCAAGTGTTGTAAGCTCTTTCGCAAAAATTATTCCAACTTTATAAACCATAAAGATTCATAGTTAAACACAACATTTTAGCCACATTTTCGCAACACTAATCTTCCACATTACAACATATTGTAATCGAAAATTTTAGTACATTTTTGCAGCACAGTCCTCCACATTATAGTTAGGAATATTTAGTTAGAGGTCATCAAGTTGGCTTTTAATAATGCAGAAGCTAGTTCTTCGTATACTCAATTCTCAAATTTTTCATGCAGTTTGGAATATCTGGTGCTATTAATAAAATTTTGAATAATAAAAAAAAAAAGTAAAGAAGTATATTTTTTACTCTATGCCTTTTTTATCCCTACAAAATATCAGATGAAATAGAACGCTTAGGCCAAGACCCTTTAACCTCAATGTGGCTCATCCCTTCACTGTTCCCTTACGCTATTTCTATTAGGGACATTTATCTGAAGACACACAGTAGTCTGGTTGTCAAATACCAAGAATCAGATAATGTAAATACTAGACTTAAGCGTGGCTAAATTGTGTAAATACATAGAATAACTGAAAAAGAGCAAAGAACATTTTGTTAGAAGGAAATAATACCTTTTTTCCATCACGATGTCGACAAATTGGAGTCGATCGGGTTTGATTAAATCAAAGGTTTTGCAGCTCAGTTTTCAGTGTGGTGAGATGATTTAGGGGCTCCAGATTATGAGTGAAAGGAAATTAGGGAAAACTGGTATTATAAGTTTAGTGTGGCGAGATCTGTCGATGTGTGCCAGTTCCGATGCCAGCAACATTGACAAGCTTCGGCCAACACTCCAGTGTCGTTGCTCTTGATTCAACAAATTACGGGGGAAATGAAAGAAGAAAGGCTGATATTAATTTCATTTACATTTGGGCCGGGTTTCCCCATTCAACTGACACGGGTTATGATGTTTTAAAATATTTTAGCCATGTCATTCTGTCAAATGGCATGTAAGGAGCAATATACAACCAACAATTTCCAAGTTCATTACTCCTTTGGACTTGTACTTGTCACTTACTCGTGGGATAAATCCAATGGTCAATGCAAAAGGTATGCCAAGAATTAATGGTGGTAGTGACCTGTTTTCCCACTACAGCTATAATGCACAGACCTTTTGTTGGATAATGTGCTCCTTGGGACGGATCAGCCACTATCTTAGGGAAATTGGGCCCAAAATTTCATCTCTCCTCCCCCCTCCCCAGGCCCCCTTTCAAATTTTAATGGTTGGAATAGTATTTTTTTTTTTTTAAAATGTGTAGTTGAAAAAGAATGAAATTTTTTTTATTTGCGTGTAAATTATTTTATGGAAGATTGTGTGATTAAAATAAGAGAGAGAAAAAGAATGAAAAAGAGAATGAGGACTAAACTGGGTACTTAAATGGATAATTATTGTCCACTTCAGTTTTATTCTCATTCCTACGTTTTTATCAATTATCATCAATTTCATTTCGTTATCGACATCATGTTACTTACTTCACTATAGCAATACTGAAACACTGAGCTGTTCGAGCTTATGATTCACTATGATGCATGACAAACTCTCTGCATGTTATATCTTGGATAAATTTGGTATGTTATCATTCACTTTATCATCATGAATAATTTGAAGGGTAAGTGGATCCTAAATTTGGTATATGTGCAGTGGATATATTGTATTGTATTACAAGTTGGTTTAGTTCATATTACAAATGAGATGATACCGAAATTTCTACAAATTATATGCGACATCTTTCGAGACAATTCGTAAGTCCTAACCTATTTGGGATCAATGCATATTTTTAAGCAATTTGTAAGTCCTTGTTTGTTGGAGCTATTCATATTTATGAGGCAATTTGTAAGATCTCACTTTTTTGGCAGCCTATATTTCGAAGTCCGACCTACACACGAATGTACAACTCAGACTTGGGGGCTATTGTTATACCTATAAAATTAGCTCGTATTAAGCCCTCCATTGGGCTTGGAACTTGGTCCGGCCCATTAGCTCACGATACCCATTTCCATTTTCTATATATATGTGAGTTTAATTCATTTCCAAAAGAGAGGTAAGTTCACATGGGGATGTAGTCGAAATTCTGTTGGTGCATTTTTTGGAGTCAACGGCATATATAAAGGAAAATTGTAAACTTTTCTTCTTTAAATTAAATATGTATAGACACGAAGTGAAATTTACAAAAACCTTATTTTGATAAAGTATGCATTACAAGTATAGTGTATTATTTCAAATATTCTCGAATATATCAATAACAATGCACCCCCCACCCCCCAGCAAACAAATTGGGGTGTATCGAGAATATTATGCAAAAAATCATACCCCGCAATTTTGGATGAGTCTCAACTTAGCAATATAATATTCTTCTAAATATATAGGGTTCGACCATATTGATAATTATGTTTATCTACTAGATAAATACTTTTATTCCACCTCTAGTCAACGTAAAAAATGACAAAAAAAGTCTATATCACATTAAAAAGTCCATACACTTCCATATTTTAGATTGTCAATTCACCAAAAAATAAATAAATTAATTAATTAATTAATTAAATTTTAAAAAAAAATTTGATAAACCATTTTCTCATTTTAAAGAAATTGCAGTCCCATTTTGAATTATGATCGAACCAAATTTAATTGGCTACTCGGTCAACATATAAACACAAATCTAGTTTTCACGTTGCACCAAAAATGGGTAACACTTGAAAAGAACATTGTAGGTTAATAATTTATCTTCCTTCGTTCAATAAATCTTCTAGAATTTAGGTGAGCAAGCAGGTACGCACATTCATGAAAAACAATCTGTCCAAACATATAGTACCCCAACAAACCTTGGGTAGACCCCGAACTTAACAACACAAGCAATCACTATTGCTTTAAAATTCGATGTGAGCAACTCCTCTAGATTAGGGTGAATAATGAATGGTTATTCGATAAATCGAATGAAACACTTCGGATGTCAACCAATACTACTTTAATGGTTAATCACTTGGCACAAACCATCTCACCATTTTTTACCAAAATAATTGAGGCTATTTGTTAAATAGACGATTATCCATCTCACAATACCAATCGATTATCAATGGTATCATAATCTTCAGCAACATATTGTATGCACATATCCAATTGAAAAAAATCAACTCTAATACGTGCTCGAGAACATAAATAATTTGACAATAATTAAATTCTAGTTCTCACTAAATCACATTTCAAATATTGAACAAATTTCAAGTTGAACTAATCAATGTGCACGCCAATAAATTTCAAGTACATATGCGAAACAATTATTTTTGTATAAATAAAGCAATGATTATTATCGCCACCCATATAAAATTGCATTTAATAGGCATATTAACACGTGTATGCCTATATATATTTTTGTCAAACTTCATGCATAGATATACCAAAGATTATTGCTCCCTAAGTTTAGATTATTACGTGAAATTGTAACAAAAAATACAATATTGCGCAAGGAATCAAATGAATCTGCCTTCGACCTAATAGGAATGCAACTTCAGTTCCAAATTTCTATGACGTGGTTATTGTCTTAATAATTCTACGTATATAAACGAGAACGAAGAACATATGCACATTAGAAAATTAAACACATACAATATATAAATAGATTATGGAACTCAAAATAAAAATGCAGGTAACATCAAATGTTCCAGTGTTAATTCTAACTAAAATTTAAAATAGAGTATAAAATGCTCATAGAAATCGATTTAAGATGGTTGGATAAATTAGTGCATGAATTATAAAAAATACATGCATGCAAAGACGAATAGAGTAATAACTTGCCAAAACCATGATACGTGCATAATAAGCAAATCACTACTTAGTCAAACGTAGAAAATGCAAAAATTAGAAAGAGATGAAATAAAGTGAAGTATGTAAATATAAATCTCCTTAAGACATATTTCACCCTGTATTGGTGTTAACATGATTAAAAGGAAGTCTGTATTCCAAAATACAACACTTTTTTCAAAATTAATATAGCACAATATTAATTTTGTCGAACAAACCAACGATTGACCGTACCCTTCTACAGCGGAAGATATAGAATACTTATATCGAACACCAAACTTGAAAATAACTCAGAAATTAATTTGACATAATTTGGAATTGATTTGAAGTAGAAAGAAATAGAATTAAATATATCTATTTATAGATTTTCAAGGGCTTTTTGAATGGTTGCATCTTTTAACATAATCCACACCTTTTCATATTAAATAGTGTAGCATACCCTATCAAATGATAATGCCTTTTCATCATGCGCCTTTTAAATAATTACACCTATCCTAAGTAACATGACTCTTTGTATGCATCTTTTGCAAGTGAGGAGACAGATGTTGGAGACATATTCCAATTCACTATAAATAATACCCGTTATTCCAACAAGAAATACTCAGTATCGATAATAATAAAACACAGTCCGAAGGAACAACGCCTAAAACTTGTTCTTGAAAATTATAAATATGCAATATCATGACTAATAAAGTTGATTTTTAGTCCAATGTCGATCCCATAAGGACTGTATTATCAAATACGAAACCCATAAATCTAACATTATCTCAATGATCAATTTAGAGATGATTTTAAAGTAAAACTCTAATTTAAGAGCAGTGAAAGAAAGTTTTGGGTTGAAATTAAGAAAGTTGAGCAGTTAGGAGATCATGATTTCACCATACTTTAACTTGTATAAATTCATGCTTTTAACTTTGATAGTATACAATTATGCAATAGATGTATTCACCTAATTTATTTTATAGTCTCTCTCAAGTAAAAATCATACCTATTTAGTTATAATCAAGTGCATTAAATAATTTGAAAATCCTCACGCGATCATGCAGACCACAGGAGTATATCTCTTCCCTATCCAAATTTATAATTTTAGTAGTTTTGGTCTAGAATCATGAATCTGAATCTCCTCGTTGTCTCATTATGATCCACGAATCATTTGAATGGTGATCAAGTTTTTAAAGAGAATAAATTATACCAACGCATTAAAAATATACTTTGAAATCAAAGTCAAAGAGTAAGAGTTAAATCATTAAAACTAGGTTGCAACGTTTGTTTTAACTACACATGCACTAAGTTACAAGTCATTGTATGAGAAAAAACACAAATAATAATTAGAAGAAATCAATAGGTTTATTAAGAAAAAGAGAAAAATATGAGACCCGATCTAGCACCAGCTTAATTTTCATTTTTATTAAAATTTTCAAAACTTAGGTTTTTCTCTTCTAAGGAAAATCTTCCGACCCTAATGAGTCTGAGATACTAGAAATATATTAATCATTTTTGCCTAAAAACTGTGCTTCAAATAAAATAAAATAAAATAAAAATGTCCTCAATTAAGTCTAACAAATTTTAAAAATGAAAAAAAAAAAAAAAAATCTCATTTCGCAACATATGACGCACGAGTATTCATAAAGCACCTCTCAAATTCAGCCAGATCCCCAATTTTACTCCTCATGTCCCTAAACTTTCATCATTGTTCATTTTGGGCCCCAACTTCCAATATTGGTCATTTTGGTCATTAACTTGAATTGTCTCCGAAACTTTCTGATTCTCACATTTCATCGCCAGTCTTCATGTTCCTTAGAATAACCTTGTCCCCAAGATTCTAACGAAAAGAAATTTGGTCGTTATGGAGTCTGAAGTTTCCGAGGTTGCATCCTCCAATTGTACCTCTATGTTTAACTCCTTGCAATTGCCTGTTTGTAACTCACCATTAATAGGATAACTGTGATAGGAGTATCCTTGGTCCCTCCTGCTTCCCTTCTTATTTCAATTTTGCTAGGTCTAGGAGGAGGGAAATGAGTATCATGACGTAAAATCCAAGAATCTTGACTGCTAAATAGTGAGTTTGAGTTATCTGGTATATCTGCAATATGGGATAGATGTACAGATGATTGTCTCTTTCCCTCCGGGTCAACAGATTCTAAGTGAATTGGAATCCATAGTTGAGACCAAAGAGTGTCATCCTTAGTGAATTGGAATCCTTAGTTGAGACCAAAGAGTGTCATCCTTCCATTCAACTAGTAAGCGGAATTCTTTCTCGATCAATTCATAACATTTTGCTTGAAGAAAATTATGCATTTTGTGATCAGCAACTGGCTTGCCCGACTCATTATAGTGAGTTGGTTACAAATTTTTCACCAGTTGCTTCAGCTAGACTGTTTCTAGGTGTGTATGAAACTTTAGTTGGTGCCTAGTCAACCTAATCTCCTACATTACAATAAGTTGTCTTATATTTTTATCATCATTAAAGTCATGGTCAAAAACTCGAGGTTCAGCGTTGATTAAATTGTGCTTGCACTGAGTAACATTTTCTGGCTCCGCCCCTTGGTAGCATGCTCAAAGAGTGAACCCAATTGACGGTGATACCAATTAATAATGTAAGGTAGCATTTGCGAATTAGGAGGGGGAATAAAACTTCTAATTTCTATTCCAAAAACTAGTTATAAAACACTCATTGATTCATAAAAAATACCAAGACTTTGGACACAAAATCGAGAATACTCAATCGCTTATTTTATTAAATACGATTTTGAAATATTCAAGTGATCTTATTTATGCTGTGCAATGGAATCCTTTCTATAAGGAAAATTGAAAATATTGTGATAAAAATCCTAATCTAACATATAAATTAACAAATTACTATAAGAAAAGCTTAATCAACGGAAAAATCTAAAACAAGAAAATCTTGATGAATGATCCAGAAGGGACTTCTCACTTTTAGATACTAAGATATTATGTACTAACATTAACGGATGTAAGTGTAGATTCTAAAATTTCTCGGTCAGAATAGGGTTACGCTTTGAATTTGTAATGCGCTTCAAAATATTGCGTTCTTTTTTTAATTTTATTTTAAGACTTTTTATATAAGCTTTTATTTTATTGCTTTGAATTTATTTGTCTTTCTACTATTTATCTTGTGAAGTGGCGTCCTTACCTTTATATCGTCGTATTTTATTATTTTTAGAGAAAGTTGTCTTAATGTGATTTTCTCAAAAAACTCGTCAAAAAAAAAATAAAAAAAATAAAAAATTCATGAATTAGTTTTCAAAAACTAATTAAGGTACATTTCTAATGAAATTCCTCTAAAAGAATTAAAAACGAAAGTAGAAAACCCTGTCAAATGAATCCTTATTATTATGCGAACGAATGTTGATATTTGATTTTGTATAGAATGTGGATTTAGGTCGACAAATAACAAATTGGAGAAAATCTTGCCATTGTTTTTATTTTTTAATCGAAACAAACAAACTGATGGCGGCTCCCAAACAAGTCTATTCCCGCTCTAATCGAAATTGCTATCTTAGTCCTTCTACTCTGAACAAATGATAAATTTGACCCTAATTAAATAAAATGACATAATCAATGAAATAATGGAATAAAGAGCCTTAAGCTCATGGCCTTCGTATATATTGGACTAAATCACCTACTCGACCTCAACTGCCATACTCAGCATGTACACATTTCATTAGATCAACTAGTTTTTTACCTTTAAATGCAACCCAACGCAACTCTTTAATAGTCGAAACTTGACCTCTAAATTTGTTCTGAGAAAAAAAAAGGGAAAAGAAAGAAGAAGCTACAATGCTCCACAGATGAGAAACATGTTCTGTAACTCCTCTTATTTCGTCCATTCATGAGTCTATAAAAAGAAATTAAGGCTTCATAACAACGTGCGAAAAAGAAGAATGCAAAAAGTTTTATTCCCTGTTTGATAGAAATTTAAATCTAGATTTTAATTTAAGTCAAAATCAACAATTAATTTTAATCACATATTTTATGGTCCCACAACTTTTTAACAACACATTTCATCAACTTTTATCAAAATTTACTAAAAATCTGATTTTAATCTCCATCAAACAAGCTCTTAGTCTTCAGATTTGATTATAAACTAGGTAGTGAGGACGAAAAAAATGGTTGGATGTAGAAATTGACCGGTAAAGCCACCACTCTTTTCTCTTTATCACGCAATATTTTGGTGAGATATGCGACTAAACAAGTAGATCCTGATACAAAGGAGATCTTGGAGCTAAGGCTAAGGCCCTTCAAAAGGTATTGGGACAAATATTCGAACTCAGAGACCATTTGTTTATATTTTGAAATATTTCATAATTTAATTAAGCAATGAAACCAACAACAATCAATCGCTCTGATGCAATTTATAATTATAGTCTTTATGGGATTATCCTTTAAAAAAATAGTCTTGTAGATTTCATTAGCGAAAAATATTGTTTTTGTGTCTGAAATATTTTTACTGAAATATTTTTAGTAGTTTAGCTAAGCTTTTACATATCAAGTCTTCTATAGCTTGCGAAAAATGTTATCTATCATGTTTCAAAGCATTTTCCAAAATGCTAATCGTAGGTGGTGTTATTAAAAGTCATACCTCTATTATAACGTTTTATAAATGCTATTATAAAGTGTTATATAAAACTTTTACGTAGCATTTTTTTATTGTCGTGGTTTTAGTATTTATAACATTCTTTTCGTGCAATCTTTTTTAATCGATAGCATTTTTTTTGTCATAGTTTTAGCTTTAGTAGCATTTTTTAATTGTCATGTTACATCTTTTATAACATTCTTTTTCTTCATAATTGTCAATAATTATAGCATTTTTTTTAATATAATGTATTATTTTTAATAGCATTTTTTTATTGTAATGTATACATATTACATAGTATTCCTAATTCCTTAATTATCAAATGTAAATATTCAATATCATTATTTTTTGGACAAAAAATATGAACAACTATAACAAGACCAATAATACATTCAAAACATTCATCAATATTGAAATTCATTGAGAAATCTAATCATATTTCGTCTTCATATCAAATACTAGCGGCGATATATGCTTGAAAAGACAATAAACAAAATAAAATTAGAATGATCTCAATTTTAAAAATAAATATATATTGTCAATTAAAAGGAATGATAAATTTTACCGATGAAGATGGTTGAATGTTAGATAATTTTTCACTTTGCTTTTCCTGAAACTACAAAGATAAAAAAAAAATTAGAAACTAGTTACTATATCATGTGAAGTAAAGGCATATGAGTTATATTTCACTTAAAGGAACTTACTAACCTATTTTTTTCAATAAGTCATTGATTGTTTTCTCCATATCTGCCACTTGAACCTTTAGATGATTTTGTTCTTCCTTTAAATGAGCCACAGTAAACTCCCTTTGAGTTAATATGGAATACTTTGTATAGAAAACTCCACCTCCAATCCCTCGTAATCATCCACTATTCTCTGGACCAAGTACTTTAGAAAGAGCATCTTCTTTTATGTAAGCGTTAAAGGCATGCGAACTCGCATCTTTCAATTTTTTCCTAAAAAGACCATATATAAGTGAATATATACATATATGCGCGCGCACGCACACACACGCACACGTGCATGTGCTCATATATAGAACTAGGAAAAATAAATTATTTATACTTACAAGCACCTCTTCAACAAGTTTGCATATAGGTTCACCATTCTTTTTTATATGTGCTGCTGCCCAATCCTCCTTACAACCTATAGAAGATGGATTGATGCTCTTCTTTTGTCAAGAGAGTGAAGAATTATATGATAAGAATCTAGAGCAAATGATCTACTTAGTCAAATTAAAGAAGGCTTGTGGAATGTTATCATTTTTTCACTCAATCTGGCAAATCCCTTACAACTTCATGTGTGTGGGATTTGTTTTTCTCGAATTTCTCTAAACCTTTGGCTTTTAGCCTAACAATAATATTTCCAAACTTATATAAGTTTACTAATAAATAATCATAGCTTAGTATAGGTTTGATTTAAAAAAAAAAGGGGGGGAAATGTAGAATTTACCATAAATTTTGCATTCGTCTTTTCCTTCACAAACTTCTTCCATTGTTGGGATTTAAGTATGTTATCAGGTTTGAGTTTTATTCTTTCAGCTTCATTTGGTGCTTCTCTAATCTTTTTCACAAGTCGAGACTTTGACGCTCTCCAGAGACCACCCATTTCTTTAAAAATGTAGTCTTTTTGCCATTCTATTTCTTCATCTACTTTGAACCTTTGCTGCAAGTTACAAATTTTCAATTTTATACAATATCAAATATTTATTACGTTGTATTATATAGCGTCGAATTATTTTGAAGGATGTACCTGAATATCTTTCCACATAACAAGTTTCATATCATCTGAAAGGTATCGCTGTCAACAAGGGTATACGGTGCAGTCTCCCTCACAAGACGGGCCAGAAAGGAAGATAAAGTGACAAATAGCGATTGTCCCATTTCATTAAATTTTACTTCAATTGGAGCAATGACTTCATTCAAATTCTTCATTTGGGTAGGGCCTCTGTTCTTTTTTTCGACTTGTTGAGTCTCTTCTTTAGAAGATGTAACATTTTGTTGCAATAGACTCGTATCTTCCACATGTGTTCTTTGGTTTTCATTACCACTCATGTCTACATCATCTTCTGGGGTAACCTCATGTGATGCCTTATCTGTAAATGTATTAGTGATGGACCTCGTTGTACAGTTTTTTGGTAAATGAGCAAGTGGATAATAATTTTTCGTGACATCCTTACGCATATTCATGCTACAGAAATACCTAATAGGAGCATCCAAAGAGTTAAAATGCTGTTGAAATGTGTTGGCTACTTTAAGTTGTCCACCTGCAGTTTTTTGTACTTTCTCTTTTTACTCGGAGCTTTTGAATCATCAACACCATGATATCCAACCTATTTAAGAAAATATAAAAATCATGATTAGCATTTTATGTCAAAATTTCAGAAAATGACATAAAAAATGAATAAACAAAACTCATCATTGCAAGACGACAAAAAACTACAAACAAAAATATAATATTAACATTACAATGCTTCAAGGCAGCACAATAAAGTACAAACAAAACTAACTACAAAAGGATCTTTTTATTTCTAAACTGAAATTTAAATCATCAAATTAAAGTACCCTCGCAGTCCCCTCTTACATAACTAATTTCCTCATTCACATCATCAATGTTCAACGAAATACTATTTCTAACACTGACTTCCTCATTCTCATCATACATTTCTAGATCATGAAATCCTCAAGGTGGTGCTTTCAAAACCACGTACCAGTTAGAGGAATCGTTTTCTCTTGAATAAAATACTTGTTTGCCTTTTATGCTAAAATAAAAGAATCTTTTAGAAAATTATTTTGACCTTGGTGTAAATTAACAAGTGTAAAGCAATCATCCATTAACACTCTAGTCGTCATATCTGCAGCATTTTAAGTAGTCTCTATCTTCTTAAATAAATTCACGCCCAAAGTTACAACGAACATCGTTCTACTTTGTTTATCGTAAACTAATTCTTTGCCAAATGAATAACACTTTAATCTCCATAATGTGAACTCACATGATTCGTGCAACTCCAAAGTTTTCCCATCAATCAAATAGCTTCACAACAAGCTCTGTAATTGATATGTACTTTTCCACTGTAGTAGAACAAACAACAAGCTCTGTAATTGCCCATATCCTCATAGCCCTCACTTTTGGTTTCAATTCTCTTTTGAATGAAATCTCATGCATCAACCATTAAGCATGATCGCCAGCTTTACTTTCAGTTCGTTCTCGATGGATTATAATGGACGTGACTGAAAAATATTATCTTAGTTTCGTCTGATATTGTAACTCCAACTCATTCCTACTTACTGAAATTACTTCTAATTTCTAAGTATTACGACTAAGTGCATAACTAGGCATCACTATTACCATCTCGGTAACTAGTCTTTCTTTAATTATGTTACTTAAAAGACCAATGACAGTACGTAGATAAAGACAATTTTTAAAAATGGAAAATTTTTAAATATCATTTATTTAGATATTTTGACAAAAACCATTCTTTAATTATCTATTACTTTATTTAATATTATCATTATAAAATTGTACTTGAGGATAAAGTGATAATGTCCATAAAATTCAAAATTAACGTCCAATATTCAAAGACATCATTAACCCAAAAAAGTACTAAGTAGTTCAACAATCTTTAAATTAATAATTCATTTTACTACCAATTGAAAGAAATTATAATTGTGTGCATAAGAGACCAAATATATATACAAACAAGTACATATACATACATATATAAACACACACCCCCATGTGCACTGATATCTATATACATATATACACAAATATACACACATATGAGCTTGTCATTGGCAAACACAAAATAGAAGAGCCAAAATAGAAGAGTCATGTGTGTCAGCGGATACTCAGGCCGGTTGAGAATAACCAAGCACTCATGTTTGAAGCTCCCTTATGGCATCTTTATTATACAAATTTGATAATTGAACATATTCGAAAAGAAATATCTTGTTTACTATATTGAAATGTTATGAGCTTTGGCACTCACCTGCACCTAACAGGACAACTTGTGTTGTTCCACCACCAAAGGAATCAAGAACTGCTTCAAGCTTTGAATCGAACCAAAGGGTTAGAATAGCAACAATCACTCTTGAAATATTCTGGAATTGTTACGCTGTTCTTTCTTGAAGTTAATAGCACCAATGATAGTTTTGAAACCTCTATCTATCCTCAAGAATTCCCTGAAGCAAAATTTACTTGTCATTTTAAATGCCGTTCAAATTTCTCTATTTAAGTATTTGTCCTGTCTAATTCATTCAATGTCTGGTATTCAAATTTATCAAGCCATGAATAAGGCTCCTTCATTCCTCCAACGTAATAACAGATAAAACAACTATGATGAGTTAAATGCATACTTTTAAATAAGGTTGTTCAAAACAAATCCAAGATGAGCAGTAAATGAATCTATTTGATTTTGGACAATTCCATAAGAACCTCTCTGGACAAAACGTTTTTAGTGCTTAAAAATTTACTTTAATCTCTGTTTGTAATGAGAAAGGAACGAAATTTGTAAATCTAGAAAGATAAGTTCATACACCACAACATATTAAAACGGCATATTCTGGTTTGACATACCTTCTGTCAAAGAATTACTTAGAAACTACCGCTCAGATTTAGGAATCGAAAAAAGAAATAAAAAAAAAAGATACCTTTTTAAGGTAGTGAAGAAGAAACATTCTCCACCAATCTCTCGATTAAGACCTTATATGCGTCAAAATCCCTTCCACAACTGAAAAAATAAAAACTGCAAACCAAAGAGAATGATAGAATCAGTAGCGCGGTATGAAAATTTGATATGAATTCATTGTTATTTGGGGGATTTTCTGAACCATAATTAATCGAAACATACCAAAACAGAGAGAGAGAGATGGAGAAAGCAGGGAAGATGGAGAATTGGAAGGAAATAAAATTTTAGGGTAGAAAAATTGGGATTTTTTTTTTTGGCAAGATATGGAGGGAAGGATTTTGGGCTTTTTTAATTTGGTGGCCCGTTAAAAATGCTATTATATTATATTTAGATAAAGTTCATTTTTAATTTATAGCATTATAAAAAAAAATGCTACGTTTAAATGTTATAAAATGTATAAATTGTTGAAGTGTTTTATTAGATTAAGTAATGGATCAATATGAAATGTGTTTTATTAGATTAAGTAATGAATCAATATGAAATATGTGGATAATAAGTAAGTATAAATTATGGATCCTATGAAATATATAGATAAAAGTAAAGCTTGATCAATTTATAAATAATTATAAACTTTACTAGACATGCACTTAGCTCCTGATTTGATAAAATTATAAATATGTAGATTTGATAAAAAAAATTATCGAATATTACGTGGTTAATAAGTTGTAGATCCTATGAAATGTATGGTTAAAATTAATTATTAACTTTAATTTAAGCTTTAATCCACTTTTGTAACTGACCAAATATTACTTAATATAGTACACAAAAAGTTTTCCTTAACATTAACATTTCTCAACTTTCTATCAACCCCATTACTCAATCAAATTTAGAATTTTCATATAGCTTATAAATATGAAAAAGAAATTAGTTAGAACGAGTTGAGCTATTCCACTAAGAAAAGTTGACATTGTCGATGTATCTCTAAAATTCGGTACAAAATCAACAAAGAAAAATCTCAAACGAACAATTTAACCCATTAATTTAATTCCAACAATCAATTTGATTCCAATTTTCAAGATGTGTGTTGTAACTTGAAACAAGCTACTATCCTAAAAGGACATCTGAATTGTAAAATTCAATGTTATAGAGATACAACAACAAAAACAATAATAATAAAAGATATAAAAATAATTTTGTGCTTACTTTTTTCAATAAAGTTGACCTAAACACACCTTGCTACTCTACCCACGTAAATTTCCATGGAATTAAGCACACTAGCCGTTTGTCTTATAGTAGAAAAGATGACAAAATTCTTCTTTTATTTTCCCTTCTTTCTTTTATATTTATCTTAACTAAAATTGAGAGTATAGTGGTATTGTTCGACGAAAAAATGATTTTTTTTCTATGATCAAAATGAATGGATATCGTCAACAAAGGACTAACTGCACACCTAAACATCTAAGTTGGGGATGACAGTGCCAAATAAAATTGAAAATAGGAACTAGATTTTCAAAAGTGCCACAGGTTGAGGAAGAATAGTGCAATTTTCCTTAATATTTACTGCACAACAAAAGCATCAACAAGCAACCACTATGATCACATTTTTAAAATTAAAATTTGTTAATTTTGTTGATCCCAAAGGATTGTAAAGAATGAGATTTAATGACGATGTGAAGTAATAAAATATTACAACAAGAAACAAGATTAAAAGTAAAGAAATAAGCAAAGAGAATTTATTGCAGAAGAACAGTGTATTATAAACTGACAATATGGTGAGAGATTACAAACACAACAATAATACTAAAATAAAATTGGCAGAGGAGCCTTGTATTTATAAGTCACATTTCAAACCCTAGAAGACTCCTAAAAGATAGGAAAATATATTATAATTAGGAGATCAAATTTTAACGGGATTTTGTTTTCTTGTTGTTGAATGCAGTTAGACTCATTTCCAACACAACAACATGAGATTCAAGACTCCTATTGAGTCACAACTCCAATAATCTCTACCTTGACTCAAATTCCGGTGCAACAAGCGAAGCTCCACAACATTTCTCCACCTGAGAAATAAACTCATTTGCATCGAAATGAAATGACAAATCTCTTCAATGCAATAACCAAAGCTTTCCATATAAACTATCGTTCTCTGTATGGTATCTACAAACGACACCTGAACCCTACTCCTAGGTTCCTAAAATTTTGCCAAGGAATTAATATTTACCAAACAGGGTCGAAGCACACCATGTAACAGAAAACCATACAAAATGCCTGAACAGAGGCCCATTGCTAGAAATATCACTTTTAACGTCCCCAAAAGCATTACAAACATCACTGACACCACGGTACATATGCTCAATGGATCCAATCCTAGCAACTGAACATAGTGCAACCGTTGAAATTGGTAGCAAAGCGGAATCACCAACGCTCCATCGAGCAATGTTTTGAACCGGCCCAGAGCCCGTCATAAAAGGTACTGTACCAAACAAATATCCACCACGGTACTGAACTTGTCCATATGTCTCTTAACTGGTTTCTGCGCTCCCTTGCAAGATGTACAACTGAGACATTCTCCATCCCTCTAGTACAACTCGAACACCCTTTCAGACCTTCAAAACTCCACCTCTACCAGAGAATTTATACCCTTTTACATCCAGAGTACTAAACGAGATGAGATTCATTTTTAGGTCTGGAACATGTCGAACCTGATAAATTATTTTTGACTATCCCATCCCGCAACCTAAATCTGACTGACCGATCCCAGCAATACGACAAGATCGATTGTTTTCCATTACAACTCCACTTTTTTGAACTACCTCATATGTCTGAAAGAAAATCCGATTGGAACACATATGATGCGAACATGTCGAATCAATAATTCATTCCTCGTCAAGCCTAGATTCCACATTAGATACCACGGTCAACATCACATCTTCGCCGTCTGAGAAATCTTCAACTACATTTATTTTGTCTGAAATCATATGTTGCGCACGATTTGCAGCTAAATGACCATTAGCCTTCAACTTATCACAATTCTTTTGAATATGTCCCTTACGTCTACAATAGAAGCAAAACAATTGCTGTTATTCTTCAATCTACCCCTTCGTTGATCACCATGAGATACAAGAATTTCATCATCCCTTGATGTAACTCCAACCAAATGCTTCAACTTCTCCTTTGAGTGCAAAACATCATAGACATCATCTATAGTCAAAGTATCCCGACTATACAAAATGGAGTCCCGAAACGACAAATAAGAGCTACGCAGTGAACGCAACAAGATCAACGCCAGATCCTCTTCACTGTACTTAACCTCTAACGTCTCCAGATCTGCAACTATTTCCTTGAATACGACAATATAGCTCTCCAGTGACCCTCATTCTACCATGCGATGAGAATATAACTTCTGCTTTAGAACCAGTTTGTTCGTGAGACTTTTAGTCATACATAACTGCTGCAATTTGAACCACAAAGCAGTCATTGTTTTCTCCTTCAAGACATCCTGCAGAAATATTGTTGGATAAATGAAGATGGATCGACGATAAAATCTTCTGATCCCTCCATTGTTTCTCTTTTGCTGTTCAATTAACTGGCACCTTCTCAAAACTTAGCAGCACATCGTCCAAATCCAACTGCACCAGAATAACCCTCAACTTTGCTTGCCATAAATAAAACCTTGTATTGCGATCCAATAGCGGAATGTCATACATCACAGTAGTTATTTCTGATAAAATCTCAACCAATCCACAGAAGAACCAAACTTTGATACCACTTGTTGATCCTAAAAGGTTGCAAAGATGAGATTTAAAAACGAGTTGAAGTAATAAAGATCACAACAAGAAGCAAGACTAAAAGTAAAGAAATAAATAAAGAGAATTTATCACAGAGGAACGATATATTATAAATTGACAATATGGAGGGAAATTACTGAATTATGCTTAAACAAAACTGATAGAGGAGCTTTGTATTTATAGGCTACATTTCAAACCCTATAAGAGTTCTAAAATGCAAGAAAATATATTACAATTAGGAGACCCAATTTCAATGTGATTTTGTTTCCTTGTTGTTGAATACAGTTAGACTCTTTTCTAACACCAACAATACACGATTCAAGAGTCCTATTTGAGTCACAACTTTAACAAATTTTAACGTTAACATATTCCTCCAATCTAATGACATGTGGAAACCATTATGCTAATTAGCTGTATGGTAGATGAGATGAAGTCAAGCTAATTTTTGTTTTGAATTCTTTTAGTAGAGATAAGTACAAGGGAACTTTAAATTTGACTATAATAAGAAAAGAAAAATTGTGCCATTTGTCTAGCATATGTTGGTATACGCTTTTTAAAATTGACAAGTTAGTTTCATTTTTTTTTTTTTTTTTGCACAATTAATTCTTAATGATTGAACTTTTCAAAAAATTCGAGTAGCGAAATCAAGTTTCATAAATTGAACAAGCCAAAACCATGTAAAAGTTTTGCACTGATGTGAAGAGATTCCGTCAATGAAAATTGATTGTTCAACTATAACATAATGTTGAGAATCAACTTGCTCATTGTTTGAAAGTTACAATTATATTTCTATTGATCCAATAAAACCTAACCTAATGGTACAATTTTTCTTGTAGGAAAATATGGAAAAAGATGAATAGAAAATTCAATTTCAAAATTTTAAGAAACTTGCTTCACGTACAGAGGCCAATCTTACAGACCTTTTCTAGAATACACACATACGAGGGGCCTACGTAATTTTTTTAATACATGTGGGGCCCCTGCACAGTGAGAGGCACTGTAAAACATCTGTGACTAAAATTCTGTACACTGGGCATTAGTGAAATTTTAAATTTGCCCATATTGATTTAAGGATTCTTAAACTCTTCGCCATCAACCCATTTCAACATGTACAAGCTCAATAATTAACTTAAATTGTAATTTAAACTGGTTAAATATACATTTTATTCGCGTACGCACATTTTGTAACATCTCAAACGCTACTCACTTTTTACGTAAAAATTATGTGAGACGCACTTATAGCCTTTGTTTGAGCCCTATTTTTTGGGAAGAATGAATTTTTGAATAGTGTATTGATGGAAAATGTGTGGTTAAAAAATAAGGAAAAATTTTAGATTTGCGTGTAATATTATTTTATTGAAAAATGTGTTATTGAAATGATGTCAAAATACTGTTGAAAAATAAATTTTTCGAAAAGAATGAGACCCAAACAAGAGTATAATCATTCTGGTGCATGAATGAAATTTTTATAATTCATGGTGATTGGTGATACT